ATGAATTTTGCTGATGATGCTGTACAAAAATCTCCTTTTTCTTTTTTTTTTTTTTTCTACGCATCTTTCACACCTCTGCCAACAGCAGGCCCTGGGAGCGACGCAGCCGGGCCACGGTGCTGGACCGCCTGTCCCACTGCTCCGAGCTGGGACTGCCCATCTCCTCTCGGGGAACAGCCTCACCTACTGCTCACAAAACCTCTCCCAGTCTTCTGTGCTCCTAAATACATCCGGGCATACCCTGGCCAAACGCACCCGACGCGTGGCGAAATGTGCTGGGCCTTGTGCTCCTGGCAGGAATGTTAATGGAGGTGATGCTGCAGCCAGCAACGAGGGAAATGAGGCTTTGGGGTGGGAGCGGGTGTGTCAGGGTCCTTCTCCAGGCCTTTGGGATCTGTTTAGGTTTCGGTGACGGCTTGGGCAGCAGCAGAGGACGCATACCTGTCCGTCTGATTCATCTGGCTCATGTAAGGATGTCTGGTGCAGTATAGCAAGAGATGGTCACTCAGGTTTCTTTATTTACTGCCAGCTCGTCCTGGAGCTGGGCACCAGTTGAGCAGATGAGATGAAGGAATGGTGGGGTTTTGAGGAGAGGTGTGTGGATTTTGTGTTGTAAGCTGGGAGCGGCTGCGCAGCCCTCTCTTGTTTCTCTCCCACTCCCAGCTGTAAAAGAGAAGCCTTCTTCATCGCGCCTTTCTTCCCCCTCTGTGTACACATACCATTCCTGCCTCTCCCTCTAGCCAACCTCCTGCCGCAGGAGTTAGTTTAAACAATAGGTCTTTCATTTCCGAAGATCCTCCACCATGCGCAGCCCTTCGGTGGGTTTTGAACAGCGAGGGGAAGTCAGATATTGTTCGTGTTCCCCCCCCCCGCGAAGGAAATCGATGGAAGCCCCTGTGAGTCGACGCTCTGTAAAACGAGGCTGCAGAAACTGCAAAGCATGGTCAAGAGCAGCCCGTCGGCGGCAAGAAGTGGCCGTATCTCAACCCTCTGGATTAGTTCTCCTGCAGATGAAGCAGGCTGGATGCCGTGCTCCTGGTGATGCTTGCTGGGGTGAGAGCCGCTGCGCCCCGGCACGGCGCAGGAGCCCTGCACCAGCCTTGAATTAAGTGCACCTCCCTACTCTCTGATCTCAGGTCAGCGCTATCTAGGGCATGTTTTAACTGCCAGAATCCTTTTAATTAAAGGTGGATGGGAGGCGAGGGATTGATTCCTGGTTTCTCTGTTGGAGTTTGCGTGCACCGTCTGCCCTCTTCCCCCACTCTGCGGCGTGGTTTGGTTGGGATGCCGGGTAAACAGCCGTCCCATTTTGAAGCAGTTTTTGTCTCGCTGGGCCGTGACGCCCAACTGTATCACCTTGTGGTAATATTTGCTCTAGGAAGCATTTGGCTTCGGCTGCTGTGGCAGCGCAGCTGAGGGCTTCTGCTCTGTCACCGTGCCCTGCCCCTTCTCTGAGCTGCGGCAGGGCTTGCTTCAGGTTTAACCTTTTAGTATGTGTCCCATCCTGGCAGGGCTGGGAGATTAAAGAAACCAGAGAGTATAGACTTGTTCTCATCTTTCACACCGAGCCAGATGATGCGCTTCAGCATAAGCCTGCAAGAGAGTATTTGGGCCATTGAATTTGGTTAATGATTTGCACGTCTTGCCTTGCCAGTCCCTTCCCTGGGTTCACATCTGTCTCGGTTGCAGCATTTGCGAGAGGTTAGGTCCCCAACCAGGGGAAGACGGACGCGTCCCAAGTCTTCTCTTGGCTGCTCAAGAAATAAAAGTGCAGAAGAACTGTCACCACATCCTCAAAAAAGCCCCCGAACCGCTCCCCAGAGGAAGCTGTGCTGGGATGTGCACCGGCAGCATTTCGCTGACCATCTTACGGTTCACTTGGGCCAAGCTGGACGCTACAGGCAGCGCGTGGATGCTTCCTTCCTCTCCCATCCTGCAAGCAAAGGGCGAGCTTCCTGGTGAACTTAATGCTCTCCTGAGAAAGGCAGCCACCTACTTTGCCAGCGTTCGCAGGCTCTGTGCAGGCAGCCCGATGAGATGCACGATGTGGCGCTTGGAAACTTGGCTCCCAGTCGCGTCGTGAAGCTCTAGGTTAAACAAGGAGCCGGCGAGGGCTTCTCCTGGCTCGTGTCTCGGCTAGCACCGTGGGGGAAATCTGCATTGGTTTGTCTTCCTGCCTGACAGATTTGGGAGTGTGGGGATAGGGATGGAGCTGCTGCGGATGGCACACAGTCCCTCCTTCTTTCCTCCCATGATGAAGCCTCCCAGTTTAATTAGAGCCAGCGGGGAGAGAACCTCAATCTTATTATTCCTTCACAGCAGGGCACCAGTAGCATTTCTTGGACGTCAAAAGGAGGATTAGATTAGTCTGCAAGTGAGGGTTTTTTTTCCTCCTTCACATCTCTCGGCTCTCTGGGAGGGTGTTAAGCCTCCAAAATCACTGTGGTGATCAATGCCTTTGACATGGCATGCAGTCCCTGATTACAGCAGAGCTCCCTGCCAGAGGGGTTATTTGCAGCTTTCTGGGCTGCAAATCCGTGGGTGGGTGGGTGGAGGAAAGTGGGAATGGAATTGCTTGGGATAATTGCACCCTTCCCAGGTGTATTGACAAGTAAAGGAGGTTTCTGGAGGTGCGACCTTTGCGAAAGCGATCCGTGCCCCTTTCTGGTTGCAGAGGCTGCGGGACTTTTGGCAGGGGACAGGCGATGGCAGCTGGGAGCGAGCTTTGCTCTGCTGAGCTTGCCCTGGCAGGCAGAGCAACTGCTTCGTGGGGTTTTTTTTCTAGACTCGGTGTGTCTAAAGAGGAACGTGCGCCTCCCCAGCTCGGGGCCGGCTTGCCGGGCTGTGTGCTGGCACCCCAAACGCGGAGCAGGCATCCAAAAAAAAGCAAGAAATCACGCTCAGATCGGTTGTCCGTCTGCAGGCAGCTATGGGGTGACAATATTCCTTTTGGGCCTCTTCCGTATGCTCACCGGACACGGCATGGCAGGCTGCAGGGCTGGGCCATCCTGCCATGCTCTCCCTAGCATGGACCTGTGAAGACCTTGTCTGAGGGTTAAGCAGGAGAATTGGATCCAGAGCTGAGCTGGGTGAACCAGGAGAGCAGCAACCCTTTCCTTTCCCCCAGTGTCTAAATGTCAAGGGTGAACTACAGCACTCCCTCTTTGTCTGGCATCTCGGGTCCTCTGCTGAACTGTGCTTCCTCCGAAAGAGGGGGAAAAAAGGCTTCCCCTGGTGCAGTGAGGCCCCGAGAGGCTCTTGCCTCGTTTGTCGACCTCGTTGAACCCTCGTTTTGGCCCTGCAGTGATTGATGCTGCACGGCCGCGTGCTGGGCGGCCGGTTAGAAGAGCTCTCCGCTCTCCCCAGCCTCTTCTCTGCGATGTCTGCGCTGCCTCGGCAGCGTTGAGCAGTTGCTGATGTCTCTCCCCCAAGATGCAAGAAGCTTATCAGCCGTGGCTGTGCTCTGAGCAAGGATGTTTGTGCTCAGCACCAGAGCTGGGCGTTTGGCGTACCGAGGGTCTTTGAACATGCTCGTTACCTTCTTTTTCTCTTCCCTGTTTTGGGGTCTGGAAATGGGATTTTGCTGAAACGCTGAAGACCTTGTTCTTCTTTGTAATGAGAAGCATTTCTTCTGCGTGTCGTGCTTGGTAACTTGATTTTGGGGGGCTGAGCGCTGGACGGTAGGTGCGAGCAGGCAGGACAGAGTGGCTGGCGTGGTGTCTCCGAGTGCTTTTGAACCTGGATGATTACCTCAGGGCTTCCCCCCGCCCTTCCTCAAAAAAGTAAGGAACCATTTTGAATCCCGGTGGAAGCAGGAGGGTTCCAACGGAAGAAAGACTTGATAAAATCAAGTATTTGATGTTGAAGTAAACAAACCTGTATTGTTCCTCCAGAACTGGAGTTTTGACTACAAACATGAGAAATCCTGGCAATTTCCCGCCTGCGGCAGGCGTCGAGTGCTCGGGAGTCAGCGCCTGTTTCCTAGACCATTTTTGATGTCTGTGTATATGTGATTTGCTGTCCATTTGGACCAGTTTGGGGCAAGATAATCACTGATTTTGGCCAATCCGTATGTCCTGCATCCCCAGGCGCTCTCACTTGCCTTGCCACACCGGCATGGGGCTGGGAAGGAAACGTTCCTCTCTGTGTGGGCTGCAGGGAAGGACACTTTTAGGTGGATTTAATAAGGCACTCACTATGTTTCAGCTCGGGCAGTTGAATGGTGAGGGAGCAGGGGTCTTTTCTTAGACCGAGTGATATTTAGAAGAAAGGTGATAAGCACCTCGCACAAATAGCCAAAAGCAGCCCTGTCTTTACAGCTTGTCAAACATCTCACCTTTTCGCCAGTTTTAGAACAGGCGTCAGAGACGCTTTGATAAATGGATTTGAAAACTTTTAGCGTAGCTTCTGCAGATCTCTTTTCCTCCGCTTACAAAGAATTCAAAAGCCCTGTGCTCCAGATCCTGAGGTGCTCCAGATCCTGAGGTCCTCCAGCATTTCCCCTAGGAGTGATGGTTTAGGGCTTTGAGAGGTCTCTTGCTCTCTCCAGACTCTGTTCAATTGCTGGCTGCTGTCAGCAGAGTGTGTTCATTCCCTGTTTACTTGCATTTTGCCATGTGTGAAACTGAAGCCTTGGCTCAAAATGGAGTCGAGAGACAATTCTGCTGCTTGCTTTTTCCAGCAAGCGTTGGAGTTGGAGCCGTGTGGTGTGATTTAAGGAGCTGTGTAGCTTCTGTTGGGTGAGAAATATCCGGACCGAGCCGTGCTTTGGGGGAGGATAGGAGATGCTCGGATTTTTAGCGGGGCAGTGTTAGCAGAGAGCCATGTCTTTTTGATGTGCTTTGGGCTGTTCCTGCCACCTCCGTTCTCCTGCAGATGCTGTCTGGACCACCCCTCTTGCCTTCCTGTCCCAGGGACTTACTGCATGAGGTATAAGGAGCTTTAAGCAGTCAGCTACTACCGTGCCTGATTCCTCCTCCCTTGTTCTTTTTCTGCAGCTGGTCAGCGAGAAGGTTGGAGGAGCTGAAGGGACCAAGCTTGACGATGACTTCAAGGAAATGGAAAAGGTGAGTAGGGAACAAGAGAAATCTCTAAAATAGCCCATCTAACTCCCCCGTGACCTTGCCAAAGCCCTGAGCTGAACTTCACTGCTGCTGGGTCATCCTGTCTTTCCTACAGAAAGTGGACCTGACCAGCAAGGCGGTTACAGAAGTATTGACCAGAACAATAGAGTACCTCCAGCCGAACCCAGGTGAGTCCCTGGACCTCTCCTGTCCCCTTCCCTCTGCCCCCCAGTTTTCCAGGAGAAGATGCAGAGGGGCATCAGAGAGAACTTTTTTGGCCCTGAGATACTGGTACCAGCCCACGTTTGAGATCGGGCATGCTGCCTCCCTTGACCAGAGGTGTGCTGGGTCATCTTACATGTGTGGCCGTCCTGTGGCCTCGCTGGCTGAGCTAGTGGGGTCTGGCTCTTGGCTCGCTGGTGCTTTGCGACTCAGGTGAAGATCCTGACACCCCTCTTGCCCTGTGCAGTGTTCCTGGGCTGTAGGATGCTGCTGTTGCTGTTGAACAGTGAAAGAACAGACGCATCTTCTGCCTTGGACCTAGAGAGGCCCTGAAGGGGACCCGTTTTTCTTGGGATGTCCAGAAAAAGTGACGTCTCTGGGCTGGGAAGGGGTGGCTGGCTTTGTAGGCATCACCTCTGGAGCCTGCTATCCTGCGTGCTTCCAGCCAGCTCGTTCAGAGAGCGCTCCAGGGACTATGGGAGGGCTGGGGAAAGTCCTTTGGCCTTCACTGGCGAGCTGTGGGGAACTATTTTTGCTTGCTGTCTTGGAAAAGAAACTTCTCTTTTCGTAGCAAATGATATTTCTGGTAGATGAAGACAATAGGGCTTCTTGGCTTTGGGTGTAGCTTTTAAAAAAAAAAAAAAAACCAACAAAAAAAAAGAAGTTGGCAGTGGCCAGCAGCTGCTGGCAAGTCCAAGTAATTGCAAACACGGCTGTGGCTGTTTCTGTGCCAGCTTCCAGAGCCAAGCTAACCATGCTCAACACGATGTCGAAAATCCGCGGGCAGGTGAAGAACCCCGGCTACCCGCAGTCGGAAGGGCTGCTGGGGGAGAGCATGATCCGATACGGCAAGGAGCTGGGCGAGGACTCCAACTTCGGTGAGTGTCCCCTCGGGCCAGCTCCCCCTAGGAGCGTGCGGATGAGATGGTGAAGGCTGCTGCCAAATTTCCAAGCTGTTACTCTAAATTCTGGAAGGGCTGTGTGACCCTTTGCGTCACCTAACAGGACTGGGGGCTCTTAAAAGAGGTTCGAAGGCTTCCACCCGGGGCGGCAGGGAAGGGGCGAGCAGAGCCCAAGCGTCCTGGATCCCAGTCCATGGCATTATGTGCAAAACCACCTCCTAATGCTTTCTTATTAAACACGGAGAAAAATTTACATGTAGGAAAAAAATGCTTCCTTGCTGCTAAACTGAACAACGGTGACGTGGAAACTAGATTGAGCGAGATGCGGAGTTTTACGGTGCAGTTTCCAGCTAGAGCTCTGCTAGAGGGAGGCTGTAGCCAAGAAATCTTTTTGCGTGGCAATTTCTCACAACCACGTGTGACTTGCAGGGAGGAGGAGGGGCGAAGCCTTTCGGTGACAGCAATTTTGATCCGCTAAAACATCAGCCTGCGCATGTGACAGACCTGGTACAGTACACAGCTGTCTGATGGCTTCCAGCGCAGGGAGGAGCCTTCTTGCCTCAGGAAAATCAAAAAGCTCTGGCTACTTTGTGGGAGCGTCGAAGGAGTCTCGAGAGCGTCTCTGGCCAACTCCGAGCCTTGCATCTCTCGTGGCTTGCAGGAACCTGAGTTGTTACAGAGAGCAAGGGGGAAGGAAGTTTTTAGAAGAACACACCAAACCTGATTTCCTTTAATAGCCTCTCTTTAAAGGAACACTTAACTTGATAAATTTCTGTGTTAGTGCTGCGTCCCTCCCTAGGACAGGTTATCTAGAGTTACCACAATTGAAATAACTCCTCTTGTATATTTATTTTTCCAGCTGGACGGTAGAGTCATGTTTTCACTTTACCCACTATTTCACTTGTATATCTTCCTGTGCTAATGTAGTGCTGAAACGGTTGGTTGGTTTGCCAAAGCTGTGCAGGAATAATTTAATCTATAAATGGTTTCCACTGGAATAAAAAGCCGAGACTAAAAATGCTTCGCTGCAAGTCCGTCTGGCTTAGCTGTCACTGTGGCAGGAGCCTTAGAAAAGCATGAAACGAGATAGGTTTCAATAAGCAACTTTGAGCTCTCTGATTCAGAGGGGAGGAGAAGGGATAGGGTTGGCCCGGTAGAGGTTAGTGTCTAAAATGAATAAAAGGCTGCAGGTTTGCTGCCAGCATCTGGGGAAACTTGAAAAGTTGGTCAGAGCGCTCTGGCCTTAGAATTGTCTGAACAAAAGGATGGCCAGGCTGGATCAGACCGAACATGCCTCTGCCCGGGGCTTCTCTTGCCGGCAGTGGCCAAGGAGCAGAGCAAGGTTAAAGCATTACATGGCCGATTAGCAGCTCAGCGACTCCCTGAGCTAACAGGGAGTTTAAAAATAATTGCTTTTAAAAATATTTCTACCTTTACCTCTGTGTAGTTGGTAGAGATTGTTCCTGTTTTTCAGAGGAAAAAACTGAAGTGTGTTAGTGAACTCTCTTGTGCGGAGTCAGTACCAACAGGCAGTTGCCTGCTCTCACGCTGGGCACCGCTCGCTCCGTGCCAGGCTCGGAGGTTTTCTCCAGATAGAAATGTGGGGGCGTTGAACGGGGGACGGAGCTTGCACACGCTGGGTGTCTTGGCAGAATGGCTCTGCAGGCAGCCGCCACAGACTTCGGCTCTGTTTGACTGGCTGGCCCCTTCTCCCTTTCTCTTCCCTTCCTTTTCTCACTCGAAGGCGATGCGCTTCTTGATGCTGGCGAATCTATGAAGCGGTTGGCTGAAGTGAAGGACTCGCTGGATATTGAAGTCAAACAAAATTTTATTGATCCCCTCCAGAACCTGTGTGACAAAGACCTGAAAGAGATCCAGGTAAACACCACAACGCTTTTCCCTCCTCTAGTTTCTGGCCTCTCCTGGCTATTAGTGCATGTAACCGCTTGCTCTGTCACGGTGGGAACCAAGGACTCGCATAAGCATCGGGTCTGCTCCCCTGCACTGTGTGTGCTTTCTTTCCCCACATTCACTTTTTCCTCCCTGCTCGGCACTGCTGCTGCTACTGCTCCTCAGCAGCTCATACGGCTGGATGCAGGTTTTTGAATGGTTCTTCATGTCTTTGGACATGAGGAAAAATTTCTTTACTGAAAGAGTGGTTAAACATTGGAACAGGCTGCCCAGGGAAGTGGTTGAGTCACCATCCCTGGAGGTATTTAAAAGACGTGTAGGTGCGGCACTTAGGGACATGGTTTAGTGGGCATGGGGGTGTTGGGTCGACGGTTGGACTCGATGATCTTAGAGGTCTTTTCCAACCTTAATGATTCTATGATTCATTTACCGTGTTTTATGGAGGATGCCGTGGGAGTACGTCCCAACATGCGTTCTGGGCTCGCTGTGCTGTGAGCTCCCAGCCGTGTTACATTTGGGCTGCCTGGCATTAAACTTCACAGTGTTCTTTACAGCTGTTGGCTCTATTCTGTTAGTAGCCTGGATCCTGTAACACAACTTTCAAGCTATGGGCAAGCTTCCCTCTAGGTCTCTTAACGCAGCATCTCAAGAAGGCCCTTCGGTGTCTCGCCGGGGAGACACGGAGCTTGGTAGCTCCCGTGTGCTACCACAGAGACAAGTCCATGCAAAGCACGGCCAGGCTTTGTAATAGGATCCATCCCAACCTGTAATTCACAGGGCAGCTCTCTCGAGTGAATTTTTGCTTACGGTGGTGTCCCAGATAAAATAACCAACATCTACTGTTTCAGTACTTATCTCCCCCCCAATTCCGCAGGCCGCCGTAAAGCTTATTTAAACAGCCCTGCCGTAAGCAGTCAGGGGAGGCAGTGCCCAGAACCTGCGTCCCAGTTCCTGATCTCCAGAGATCCCCGTTGCTCCTGGGGAGCTGAAAATAGCGGGCCAACTTTTCATCTTTCCGAAAGGCTTGCATGGGGAACAGACCCGGGCTGCTCCCTGCAGTGTTTTCCTCCAGCTCTCGGCTGGAAGGGGGTGAAATCATATCGCCATTTCCATTTGTTGAGGGTTGTTTCTTAGTAAAAAGCCCCCGGCAGCCGTGCAGTAATCCTCTGCCAAACTGAGTTCGGACGGTCCGCTCCTCCCTGTCACCTCGCAGCAGCCCTGCCTTGCAGCTCTCACGTCCTGGAGCCTCTCTGGAGTCTGAACAAAGGTGGGAGCCACAGAAGCGTGTGCTCCGAGATCAGGTTTCTGAGGCAAATGAACTTGGCCTGTAACTAGAGCTGCCTTCCCAGCAGGAGAGCTTGGCTGCTCCCAGTCTCTGGCTTTCCCTTCTTTTCCTTTACTGTTCGTAACCATCCTCTTCCCAGCACCATCTCAAGAAGCTGGAAGGCAGACGCTTGGACTTTGACTACAAGAAGAAACGACAGGGCAAAATCCCCGATGAGGAACTTCGACAGGCCATGGAGAAATTTGAAGAGTCCAAGGAAGTAGCGGAGACCAGTATGCATAACCTCCTAGAAACTGATGTGAGTGCGTGGGGGGAGCGCCGGCTCCTCTGCCCCGGGCTGAGAGCTGCCGGGTGGGTTGCGTGTTTATGTGTACGCGAGGGTGGGATCTCTCGAGGGATGCAGAAGTTAGACACTCGTTTCCACTCTCAAGTGTGGTTTTGCTCTCTGAATACCCAGATCTGAGAGCCCAGCACGTGGCTTGGTGGGCCTCTTATTCTTTCTGTAGCCCCTCTTCCTGATCCAGCTCGTGGCCGGAGGAGAAGCTGTGGCCTCCTCTGACCAAAACAGGTCTCTTCTCAGTGTGCTGGTGGGAGTAAGTTTGGGCAGGTAACGCAGCTTACTTGGGAAGGACTTGAACAGCTAGCGAAGCCCAGAGAGTGGTAGGAGGCGTCCTCTGTCCTGCTGAGCCTCGGCCAGTGCCTGACCTCTGGTGTCTGAAATCCCAAACCTTCTCCTCATCTCCCCGGGGAAGTTGCCCTTTGTACACGTTCCCCAGTATGGTCTCAGCCCCCGTGTGCGATGCAGGAGTCTCCTGTCAGCTGAGGAGAGCCATTCATCCCACCTTGGTGTGATTCTCGCAGATTGAGCAGGTGAGCCAGCTCTCGGCCTTGGTGGACGCCCAGCTGGACTACCACAGGCAGGCAGTGCAGATCCTGGACGAGCTTGCGGAAAAACTCAAGCGCAGGTGAGTCCCAGGGTGCTGTAGGCACCCTCGGTTTTCACAGCCACAACCTGTCCCTGTGGTACTTGTCTGTAAATACCTGACTCCCCCTCTAAATCTATCCCCCGGCGTTAAAGCTGCTTCTTGCAATCACTAGAGCTTCAGTCCAAACTTCCTCCAGGTTGGAGGGAGCGATGTCAGCCGCACAACCCGCTTTCAATGACGGGCATGTTCTGACACCTGAAACAAAGCCCCTGTGCTTGCGCCGTGGGCGGCTGGTCTCTGCTGGGCTGAGCCCCTGCCTGAATCGGGGTGTGCTGCTCCCAGGGAGGCTGGAGTTGAATTTGGCAGGGGTGGAGAAGGAGGGTGAAATCCCCTTCATGCCAGGGCTCGCGGCTCCTTGCACTGTGAGCGTTGAGCATGAGAGTGTCCCCCAAGAAGTGCCTTTTGGCCAGACCCAGGATCAAGTCAGAAATTGCATCGTGCTGATGGAGCAGATGGCTCAGACGTCACGAGCTGGACATGCCTGTCACCCCGTGTCACCTGGAACTGCCTAGCCCTAGAGTCTTTGTGCCATTAGCTTCAGTTGTGGACAAGGAGGGTACCTGGAGATTGGCCATGGTTGTGGCCCAGAAAGGTCCGCGTCAAGGGTTCCCAGTTGCTCTGAAGACCGGAAGGTGAATGCAGCGTGGTGGGGATGACGTGGTGGCCACAGGCCAGTGGAAGAGCACTTAGATCACCTCCTTCAAGGAAGGCATCTGGAAGCCCCCCGCCAGACCCCTCATTTTCCAGCTCTCCCTTCTATTTACAAGGCAGTCTCCTGGTAGACCCTGTCGCAGATGTGGCACTGCCGCGTGTGCTCTGGAGTTTCGAGCCACGTGAGCCTGTTGGCGAAAGGCGGATGGGTGTCTGGCACGCAGGAGCAGGCAGAGCCGCGGAGCTGCCTGGTCTTGCTGCTCTCCCTGCCCCTCCTCGGGTGCCTGACCTCTGCAGCGGCCCCAAGGAACGTGCGGTTGCTGCCGAGGTGCCAAGAAACACAGAGGTGCCGTTGAAATACCGAGCGAGCTGGTTCACACGACTGCCGTGAC